GTCATAGTATATTTTGTTTGTGTTATTTTCTATAACTGTTTGTGGAGTATATTTGTAGTATGGTATCTGGATGTTTCATAATCTGTGTTTATATGCAAGCTCTTGATGTATTATATTTGCTATTTGATTTTCCCAATATAAATAGTCTGTTTGTGCTAACAGCTTGCAACCAGAAGTTATCTGTTGTATTGTTTCTGGCAGAATGTGGCATTTCTGCAAGAGTTATTTGTGAATGATACATTCTTCAGAATGTTTTCTGTAGTTTTTAGTGTTTATGACCTGATCTTGAATGGCAACCATAAACCCTTCAGTCTCTCCAAACAGACAGTTACTAGTCAACCAATAGTTTGATGAAATTTTGTCAATATACTCCTGAGCTAGGTCATAGGGCATGCCTGCCATGAAGTATATTTTGTGCCTATGACTGCTTAATTAATGGTGTCTATGTTATTTGTGTGTTGAGCTATGTCCAGGTGCTCAGAGTGTAAGTTTAAAAGTGCATGGTTACTGTCTGCTAGAGTAAAAGCTGTATGTAATCTTGATGTTTCTTGTTTTCTGTGGAAAAACTGCTGCAGTGTCAGAATTTGTTTGTAGTGCAGGTTGACTATATTAGTCAGGTCACTGCCACTTTCTTTACATGAAAGAGTTAGTCTTTCTGTGGATTATTTTGGGTGATATTTTTTATGCTTAGTAAGGGTTGTTCTTGTTTTCCTTTGGAGTTGCTCAAGATCTGTGCATGTCCAGTATATAACTTCAAATGAATAGGTGAGTACAGGGACAACATACATATTAATAGCTTTAATAGTGTGTTTTGCATTTAGGTATGTTCTTAATACTGCATGTAATTTGTTCTGGTGTACAAGTGTTAATCTTTGTTTTATCTGTGTATGTTCTGTAAGTTTTGTCTGTTGGAATCCTAAATATTTGTAAAACTCACTTTTATGGATTCAATAATATCTTCACTTCTGAGTACAAAGTCTCTTTTTTCAGAACTCCTTCGATGTGTAGTGTTTTGCATTTGTCTAGACCAGTAGTGTGCAAACTATTTTCATTTCTGACCCCCCATTTTGTAATTTTGTCACAACCCCTAGATAGACAGTAGACTTTTTTTAATCGTCAGCATAGTTGAAGCAAAATCCTTTCTGGGATTTGCACTTATGTTTCTGCCATATTAGAGGTCTGATTAAAACAGATAACTTTATGAAACAATGGTTTTATTTATTTATTTAATGAAAAATACTTTTAAAAAATCTTTAGTATTAGGACAATTGTTTTCGTAAAAAATATAGTTCTATTTTTATAAATATAATTTCATTTCACTATTTTACTGGTACCTGATACTTGTTGAAGAAAAGCCTTATATTTTATATTGTCAAATAAATTTCGTTGAATTTGGCAACCTTGAAAAATTTTCTTGTGACCCACAGTTTGTGCACCACTGGTCTAGACCAAACTCCATTTGTGTATCATTTGAGTATATGTGTATAGTTTGCAAGAGAAGATGAATCTGAATCTGTGTGGATGCATAAAGTTTAATATCGTCAATGTACATGAGGTGTGATGATGTAATTATATTGTGTCTTGTTCAATATGTTAGATTAAGGATTAAGTGCAAGGCAGAACCAAAAAGAATTCAGGGAATCTCCTTGAAAAATTCCTCACTTGATGTGTAACTGATTTGATTTTATGTGAGTTATGGAGGCAAATGCTTTTCTGTTTGTGAATATTTTATTTTGTTCCTATACAGAGCAAATTTTGTAATGTTTGGCTGCAAGTTTTTGTTTCAGTGTGTCAATGTATTCTGCAATGTGGACATTGTGTTGTTTGTGCTTTCTGTGCATTTTAATTTTCTTGAAATGTTTTTAGTAGTGTTGCAATGAATAGTATATTCGGCCTCAGGCCGAATATCGAATATTCGGCCAGGAGCATGGTCTAATAGCAGAATATTTGGTCAAATTATTCGGCTTGATTAATGCACGTACGAAAATTGCCACACAAACTGCATTATGGCAAGGACCCTGCTCTCCATTGCCCCGCTGTCACTACGCTTCGCCAATTGCATTAATTCTTGACAGTTGTAGTGGACAGACAAGAGCATCATGGCAGTATGTGATAAATGATGATATCAAATGTAAATAACAATGAAATGACCTACACGTTTAAATAACGGAAAAAGAACAGAAAAAGACCGCAAAGTGAAAATGTGAAAATAAATATGAAATTGAGTTGATAACATAATCGAACAAGTCGAAGCAGCTTATTGGTGCAAAATTTGCAGCTGTCAATGCCAAAAAAGTGTTGTCATAGACTTCGGAAAGCTAAATGCTTGTAATGAAAGTCACAGGTGAAAGCCTGGGACTGTTCGGGCTATCAAGCTGTCTCAAATCTGTGAAATCATAACTGTGACATATACCGACGTCCTATGTGTCTCTTTTCTCCATTATCACCAGGCTATGAGTCACGTAATTATAAAATGGAAAAGCTACGAATCAAAAGTATTGTGAGTGCATGTTATGATGTATGCATAGGCATACGTGGACTAGAGTGATAAAGGAAAGAGAAAGGGAAGAGCAAAGACGAACGCTTAAAAAGTAGGATAGGCAGGGTCAGACCCTCAGATGTGCGACGATTCTCGAATGAATAGGTGTGTACGTGTGCTGATCTTTGTAATTATAAATTGTCAATACATGTGGTTAATATTATTTTCTTTTTTATTTTGTGCATGTTATAAATTATAAATAAATATAAACAAACAACACTAACCCAATAACATTAAATCTAAATACCAAAATGATTAATTTACTGTGTTTTTGTTATTTCTTATTCCTGTTTTTAGGTATTCAGTATTTGGCCAAATAGTGATTAAATATTCGGTATTCGGCCGAATACCGAATAGTAACCGAATATTCGTTATATCACTAGTTTTTAGTTGTTTCATTAATTTAGATGATGTTTTGTAATTGTGTCAGCCTGCCTAGCTGCTGTCTAATATTGTTTATTTGTGTTTCTATTCTTTGCCAGGCAGGCTTCTGAAGGGTTTTTGGTCTCTATGCTTCTGTCTATGAATGCAGTTTTAGTCCATGGTAGGTTACTACTGTGATTGCACCTGCATAGACTAGTGTGTGAATGTCTGAGTGTAGAAATAAAATGAGTACAATCTGGTAATACACTGGTGTGCAAAACTTAAGCAACAATTGTTTTTTGCTGTAACTCTGCAAGAAATTACCTGGGAGACATGAAATTCAGAATACAGAGACAGTATTTTGTATTTAAAGGATGAAGAAAGCATACTAGTTCAAAAATGAATAGAATGCATACAGTATCTATATATATAACCCATTCATTTCGTGTCCGTCCCGTAACCGTTTCATAACGGATACTAGAGGCGCCCCTATCGTGTATCATATTTCAAACACCAAATTAAATTAACAATTTTAATTATTATTTAAATTAACAATATAAATTATTATTATTCATTTGGCCAATAAATTATTATTTGGTCAATATAACAATATAAATAATTCAGTATATTTGTAATAGGAATTTATTATTTCAGGGGCTTATATCTCGCGAAGGGTCGCGAATAGTGGTATGGTTCCTTTGACTTTACTGTTCGCACAGGGGGCTACAGTTTGGGGGGATCGCCACCTCTTCATTCGGAGGGTAAATCTTACCATTTGGACTTTTACAGAGCTGTAGAGCATATTGATAGGTACAAAAAAAGTCAAAGGAACCGTGCCTCATGGAAATTTGTAAAGAACGCCCACTAGGGGGCGTCCCTGGCTACTAGTAGAATTAAAACCCCTTCTTCTCATTGTAATCTAGCACTGTGCACACTTACTGCATACATTCTACATGCCCTCACGTCACCTGTGATATCTTCTTCCTGAATACTAATCACCTTTCTACTGAGTTGGATGTTTATTGTACTGATCACAACAAGCCCTTTACTACAATTTCAAGGCTGTCTGCTTAAAAATTACATTGTTGCTTAAGTTTTGCATACCAGTGTATGTAAGTGTTCACATAGTGTAGAGTTTTTCTCTACTAGTTTAGAAGTGTTGATTTTTGGAATGCGTGGCAATGTGCATGATCAGTGTCTGTAAAATGAGTGCTTCCTGGAAAAGAAAAGAGAGAGAATGAATTAAACCTGAATCTATTTCAGGCAGTGAAAAAGTGTTGATATTGTCAGCATCAGTGAAAATAGTGGTGATAGGAAAAACATTGTCAATAGAAGCATCTTGATGAGCCTGAAAAATTATGTAATCATTGTTGATGTTGGGAGTATTTTTTTGTTGGTGTAATTGTTATGCAATTTGTTGTTTGATATGTTCTAGTGTTGTTTGTGATATAAGGTTGTTATGTATAATTGTTCTTGTTTGATTAACAATTCTTTGTACAGTGAGATGAGGATATTGTGAGAACAAGTGATGTAAATGTTATCTGTTTGCTGTCATGTCTGTTTTGAGTTTTGTGATGGTTTAGTAAGTACAGATGATAAACTCATTCATTTCTGATGTTCATTTCATCCATTGGCATGTTTTATCTGCCTTAGTGGTCTGTGGCTGGACTGCCTCAGAAACTTCAAGGTTCAACCAGTTTTTCATAGTTAGTATGGGCATTTCATTAGCCATACTTGGACCAGTGCTGCTTTCACCACTGGTCCAAGTATTTTTCAAACATGAATCTCTGCCAAAGTCACTAGCACAGACCTTGTTAGCCCAGGTGATGCCCAACCAGTATTAATTTGGATTGTGTTACCACCATGGTTAGAACTCCACAGATGTGAGTTCAGTCACTCTTGGCTTCATTTCTACCCACAGATCTCATTGTCATGGGTGACCCTAACAGGAGCAAATGCTCTAGCTGGCATAGCTCTGTGGTTCATCAGAATTACTGAGCTATCTCACCACAGCATGGTGGTGACTGATGAGAGAGTTATTATTGTTATTATCATTATTATTATTAATTTATTTACTATTGTCATTTCTTTCATTTAGTGGAATTGGCCATGATTATGGATAGATTATATGGTGGTGTGTGTTATGCAGGCATTGATACTGATCCAGAATTAAAATATCCAAAAGGTGCAGGACGTGTCGCATTTTCAAATCAACAAAGTTATATTGCTGCTATTAGTGCAAGATTTGTACAGTTACAACATGGTGATATTGAAAAAAGGGTATGAAATTTTATATTCAATTTTTAAAAACATTTTTTTTTCTTTTTATAAATATTCATTTCATTGTTATTTTTGAAACTTTTTTTTTTTTATGAAACTTGAAATCAAACATTATCGTCATTATCATTTTACCCTTACAATAAACTAAAAGAAAAAAAAAATTAATTCACACAATACAAAATTTCCAATATAACTAACTATCAATACATCTAAGTGATAAATGATACATAGACAAGCTTATAGGAAGGAATCAACTGGATTTTCAACTGTTGCAGATATATTAAATTTTTATTTTTATTTTCTTTCTGTGTTTGTAATATGTCAGTCTTGAAATTTAATTGCTAAATCTTTAAGGTAGTAATAATAATAAACACAACTATTTTTAAAAACTTTTTTTTTTATTTTTTAAAATTATTTTTATTATTTGAATTATTAATAAATAATATGTCATGTTTAAGACATTACTGAAAGATGTATTAAAATAATAAATAAATAGCATCTAATATGTAATTTTTATTGTATAAAATATTTATTTTCTCTAAAGAAATCAGATATAAAATATATTTGCATTTAGAGAGTCAAAAATAAATACTTAGAACATTCTGCATAACTTCAATTGGTAAGCTGAATGATATAATTATTTAAATTATTGAAATATAGCCTCTTAATTCAACTGATATTTATAAGTTAATTATATCCTAGGAACAATTAATTTTTTTAATCATTTCGTAAATTCATGTAATTTTTAAGTGTTGAAATGATAAAGTGTTACAATTAATTATCTGATTTAGTCTAGAATATTCAGAAGAAGATATTAAATTCATTAATTAAAATAAATTTAATTCAAAGGAATTATGAGAGTCTATCATTGACTAAACAAAAAAAATTAACTAAATCTATACATAATTCGAAGTTTAGACTATTTACAAAAAGTCAAAATAACTTTTGAGTCTATCTTTTATCCTTTTCACACTACCACAGAAGTAACAGTCTTAAAAAATTTTTGTCTTGAAGAACTCTTCTTAAAAACACAGGTAAAAATTGGTAAAAAACGAATTGTAAAAGTGTCAGATACCTACAAGAAAAGGCTGACACTTGATCTTTTTTAACCTTGTGAAGTTTTTTACCAATTTTTACCTGTGTTTTTAAGAAGAGTTCTTCAAGACAAAAATTTTTTAAGACTGTTACTTCTGTGGTAGTGTGAAAAGGATAAAAGATAGACTCAAAAGTTATTTTGACTTTTTGTAAATAGTCTAAACTTCGAATTATGAAGAAATACATCCTGAGTTATTACAAAAATTGTAAATCTATACAGCTTTTTATTAATTCTTCTTTCATATTCTGTTAGGCTCATGGCCATCCCATGTTGTTATGGAAAAATACATTGTCTAAATAGAGAAGTTGCCAATAATACTATTAACTTTTACAGAAATTGTATTAACTTTTCATTTTATTCTATGCTTAATTTAACAGCAATTATATAAATTACTGTATAACTTGTGTGTTTGTAATTCTACCATAATATCTTAACTTTCTATACATTTTTCATAACATATTCAATGTGAAAGCTTCTGATATGAAACTGAAGTAGCTTCAAAAACATTTAACAACAACATTTGGAATTTTTAAAGAAAAAAATTTTTTTGATGCTAGTTGAGAAGCAAATTCATATCTTTGCTGAATGATGATTTCTATAACTATTTAGAAACAGACAGGGCTGTGGAGTCACGTAAAAATCTACTGACTCTGACTCTTCCTTACCATCCGATTCCGACTCCGACCAGGGGCAGGCATGTTACTGAAAGAGACCCAGAAATTCTGATGTCATCACGTGACCTCAGAATATATAGAGTCAATAAATAGAGTTTTAATAATAATAAAGATAAAACATAGAAACTTTTTATTCCAAAGCTATAAGACTCCTGTAAATAATATATAAATATGTATTTGATAATTTTTACTTTTTTGGCTGTTATATATAACAGATGGAAAGTGTAGCGCTTGGTGAAAAAATGACCCCTCCCAAATTTTTACATTTTTGGACTTGGGACACCTTGAAATTTCGAGATATACAAAAGATTTGTGGTTTTTTTCTATATGTGTGGATTTTAGACTGTGTATGTGGGGCATGATTTTGTTCACCCTGTTTGAAGCCTAATAATTTCTGTGGTCAGAGTGGTCAGAATCAGAGTCAGATGTTTAACACAGGAGTTAGTTATTAAGCGTCAAAGTGGTTGAACTAAATCATGTCCCCATATACATTCTAACATCTTAGGCGAGAACATCTTACCGGGTTTTACTGCGCTATTATAAAATGACAAAAAAGCTTACTTTGAGAGTAGAGACGAGTTTTATTTTATTATTATTATTTTTTTAAATTTTGAATGCTAATAACGAATAAAATATTCATTAAGAGATATGACACATGACCACTTTTATGTCTTTACCCTGTTGTTTTTTAATTAAGAACCAAAATTTAATAGTATTAATGCCACTTTATACGCAAGCTACAGTGCCCATTCTGAGATATTGTTTAATATCTCAGAACAGAAAATAAAGAAATTAAACAAATTAGATGCCAACACACACACTCACACGAATTTTCCTCTTTTATTGACTTTTTTGAGGGTTTAGGGAGGTCTCTAAATGTGTAGATTTGCAAAAGAAACTTGGAGGGTCAAATATGACACGATTCCAATACTTTTCTGTTTTATATACATTACAAGTTGGGAAGTAAAAAGGAATTCGAGTCAGCAGATTTTTTGACGACTCCGACTCCAGCTAAAACACCAAAACTCCACAACTCCGACTCCACAGCCTTGGAAACAGACAACTATATCTTAAGAAAGTTAAATTTTTTATCATATAGTTAGTAATTTTTTATAAATTACTGACTCCATTTTATTCTATTCTTAATTTAACATCAAATTTTATAATAAATGACAAATGAAAATAATATCTGTCAATCTTATTATATGATTATAAAAATTTGGCCATTTTCAATATCCTTATTTTTCAGAAAGCTACAGTATTTCACAATTTGTTGATTTATATCCTAAATTTCCTATAAGAATAATATAGTTTTTAAATCATGTTTGAAAATTTTATACCTCAACCATTATACTAATTCATTAATTTTTATAAAATATGGATGCACAAGGCTTCCCTAAGCACAGGGCCCAGGGCAAATGACCTGTATGTCCAGTATTAAGGACAGTACTCTTGTCCAATGCATAAAATTTAAATTACTCATTATTCAAAAACTCTAAGAGGCTAAAGACAGCATAAATTTAAGTGTATTTATATTTTATTAAATAAAAAAGAAATTTGTTTTACAAAAATTCTTTCAATTTCCCAAACTATAATCTACATGTGACAAGATGGGTTTTCTAGTTCTAATTTATGCTGTATGAACATATTGGAGTATTTGGAACACCCCCACTTTTAGCAGGTTGCTTGGAAATTTTGCTTTCTCTACATTGAGTACTCATGGTTTGGTTGTTTGATTTTAAGAAATTGGAAATTGGTCACCTAGTAATATTTAAGAATGAATTCTAGTTCAACTCAAAAAACAAAAGTTGGGAAAATTGTTGTTAGAAATAGGTTCAGAAACATAACATTAAATATAAACTTTCCATATTCAAAGGACTCCAGTGTTCCTTAAAAAAGTGAAATCTTTTAAATACTACCGCACCAGCATACAACTGAGGGATCAGCTTGTCATATGTTAGTGATTACATTAAATTGGAAAATCTCAAAAATTGCCATTCAGGAATTGGTTAACTTTAGTTTTGAACATCTTATATATATTATTTTGCAATATATATTTACATAGTATTATGAAATAACATCAAAATTAATTTTGCTGTATAAAATCATACATTTGAACAAAACATATACAGTATATTTGACTCAGATGGGAATTGAATCCATGAAAAATACATGTTTTTTACTCCACAGTTAATTGATAGATTAGTCTCAGTTATCTTGGAGGTTATATATGATTAAAAAAAATTAACTTTCTCAAGAGATACTTTCTCCTTATGCCTTAGTAATGGTGACACCCTTATCTGGTTTAAATGCCTTCCATTTAACCAGTAGCATTGACAAAATCCTTGGGATACGAGAGTGAAAGAAGGTGCATGGAGGACTCTGGGGAAAAATGGAGATGGATGGTAAAAGATCCAAAGTGCTGCAGACTGTGTACTTAGCATGAAGTGGTAAAACTTAGTGGATGCTAGGATTGAGAAGTGATCACAGAGAACTGTTGGAAATTATAAAACTTGAAAATTAATGTATGATTTGACTATTTTATGATTTTAAGAACTGTTACAAACAGACTCTCCCTGTCACTGAGTTGAGTGTAATATTGTTAATCAGGATAACATTACCGTGTCATGTTATGCATGATTATCATATTCATAAAAGGAGGGATTCATTGGTTATTGTTTGTTACATGTGTATCCCATTTTTCATATTAATTGCTATGTTAAAGTTATTGGATTGAACAGAGACAAAGATAAGGGTTAATCCTTATCTTTGTCTCTGTTTTATTGAGCCCTGAGAACAATGGATTAACCCACACACGACTGGTGTATTATACCTATCACTCATTTCTACCTGCTTCTACTCTTAGCTGTTGTTTTTTTCTGCCTATATACTATATATTTATTTATTTATAACAAATTTGTTCTTTCTTCCCCACAATATAGTTGTCTGTTTCTAAATAGTTATAGAAATCAGCATTCAGCAAAGATATGAATTTTTTCTCAACTAGCATCAAAAATTTTTGTTTACCTTTAAGGAATTCAAATATTATTGTTAAATGTTTTTGAGCTATTTCAGTTTCATATCAGAAGCTTTTACATTGAATAAGTTATAAAAAATGTATAGGAAGATAAGATATGCTAGAATTACAAACACCTCAAAACTTTTATATTGCAATTTTTGTAAAATTTGGTTTGAAAAAATGTTTGTACTTTTGTCTGGCTTATCTAAAA